GCCACCATCGACCGGCGCACGGTGGAGCTGCGCCTGACGGACAACTTCATCACCGTCATCCGCCGGAAGGACTTCTCCAACATGACCAACTTGGTGCACCTCACCCTCTCGCGCAACACCATCAGCCAGATCCTGCCCTTTGCCTTCGCCGACCTGCGTGCCTTACGGGCCCTGCACATGAACAGCAACCGGCTGGCCCTCCTGAAGCAGGAGCACTTCCGGGGACTGACCAACCTCCGGCACCTCATCCTGGGGAACAACCAGATCAGCCACATCGAGGCCTCCTGCTTCGACGAGTTCCTCTCCACCGTGGAAGACCTGGACCTCTCCTACAACAACCTGGAGGCCCTGCCGTGGGAGGCCATCGGCCAGATGGTCAGCCTCAACACCCTCACCCTGGACCACAACCTCATCGACCACATCGCGGAGGGCACCTTCTCCCAGCTCCAGAAGCTGGTCAGGCTGGACATGACCTCCAACCGGCTGCAGAAGCTGCCTCCGGACAACCTCTTCCTGAGGGCTGAAGTGCTGGCCAACGTCCGCGGGACTCACCCATCCACCTTGACCATCAGCTTTGGGGGCAACCCGCTGCACTGCAACTGCGAGCTGCTGTGGCTGCGGAGGCTCACGCGGGAGGACGACCTGGAGACCTGCGCCTCCCCAGAGCACCTGATGGATAAGTACTTTTGGTCGATCCCCGAGGAGGAGTTCATCTGCGAGCCGCCCCTCATCACCCGCCAGTATTCCAGCAAGGCCTTCATCATGGAGGGCCAGGGGGTCAGCCTGAAGTGCAAGGCTGTGGGGGACCCGGAACCTTCCATCCACTGGATCGCGCCCGACGGCAAACTCATCCACAACACCACCCGGGCCACCGTCTACGAGAACGGCACACTGGACATCTTCATCACCACCTTGAAGGACAACGGCGTCTTCACCTGCATCGCCTCCAACGCGGCCGGGGAAGCCACGGCCCACGTGGACGTCTGCATCGTCCCTCTGCCCCTGCTGGTCAACAACACCGGCCACATGAAGGAGCCGGACCCGGGCTCCTCCGACATCACCACCTCCGCCAAATCGGGCTCCAACGAAACCAAGAACCACCAGGACAGGAAGATCGTAGCGGCGGAACTGACCTCTACTTCCGTGGTCATCCACTGGCCGTCCGAACGGCACATCCCAGGTATCCGGATGTACCAGATCCAGTACAACAGCTCCTTGGATGACTCGCTGGTCTACAGGTGAGTAGGATGGTCCTTGACTTACGACCACAATTGAGCCCGGAATGTCCATTTGCTAATCAGGTTGTTAAGTGAGTTTTGCCACAGTTGTTAAGGGAATCCCTGCAATTGTTCCGTTGGTCCTACAGTTGTTAAGTGAATCTGGCTTCCCCGTTGACTTGGGTGGTCAGAAGGTCTCAAAAGGGGATCACGTGACCCCCCCAAGGGGACGCTGCGGCCGTCATAAGTACGAGTCAGTTGCCAAGCATCTGGCTGTGGGGATGCGGCAGTGGCCATACGTGTGAAACACAGTCACAAGTCCTTTTTTTCAGTGCCGTTGTAACTTAGGTGCTGGGCACCAGGCCCTACGGCTTCCTGTCTCGCCCCTCCCCCACTGGATGGGGGGGAGGGTGAGCAAGGGTGGGGGGAGGCCCAGCTTTGCACGTCTTCCAGGTAAATCTCAGCCCTGCCAGGCGAAGGGGGGGGGGAGGGGGGGAGTTTCTGTTTGTGGTCTCAGGTGGGAGATGGAGAGAAAGGGGCACGGAAGGGGAGGGGGGAAGAGGGGGGAGGGGGGGAGGGGGCTGCACGTGTGGAAGGAAGGAGCGGGAATTCCTGCCGGACCCTGCAGGGGAGGGGGGAGGAGGCTGGCAGGGAGGGAGGGAGGGAGCAGCAGCTCCCAGATTCAGGGGGTCCTTCGTGAGGGTCCCTCTCTCAGCCCCAGATATGGGGGGAGGATTCCAGCTGCCAATGGCTTTGGGGAGGGGGCTGGGCAAAGCCGCTGTGTTGGGACCAGCCCAGCAGTGTTGCAACCCCTCAGAGGAGGCATTCTCCCTCCCTCCCTTCCCCTCCCCCTCTTTCCTTCCCTTCCCCTCCCTCTCTTTCCTTCCCTCC